TCATTTCCGTTTCAACTGATCCTAGTAGATAATTCCTTACAGAGTAGATTCCTTACCGCTTATCTTTTTCTATGAACCAGTAAATAGAATATTTATTAAGTTATTTTTTGTCAATCAAGTCATAATCTACTTACTTTTTTCTCAATAAATTTACCTACACTTCTGTTCATCAAAACTATACGCTTTTTTTAAAAGCGATTTTTTTTGTTCTTGATCTTGGCTACTGGCCAATAATTTTATTTCTCCTACCTATCAATTTTATCGGCATTATAAGATAATGCTATTCGTTTTTAATATATAACAATTGTACATCTAGCATTCACCACAACGGCAAACATTACAAATGTATTAATATTTCTTCAAAGCAAGGGTTATAAAGCCTAAAGGGAATGGAACACATTTTTGAATAATTCGCGTTGACACAAACATCTCTTCACGCAAAACCATAATACTTATTTTATCACAGAAACAAAAAGTAATAACCACGTTGTGCAAACTCGTACTAGATTACCCTTACTAAAATCCGTGTATCCATTTAAGATACCTCAAAGACCGAAAAACAAAACAGCTCTGAAATTACCAAAATAACCAACAGCCTCAGTTTTAGTTTTAGAGTTGTTAGTGTAGTTTTAATCCTAGTTTGGACAATTCAATTTTGCGTTCAACTTACTTGTACTGCAAACTGAACATCCAGTGAGTTAGTCGATGTGCGAGTTTCTCTATTCGCTATCAACTCACTTGAACGTTGAGTGGAATCCATTTCTCTTGGACGTTCATCGCATACATGCATGCCTTGGTGCTAAAGCATCAAAAGCAAAACAGTGACAACTCCCTGTTGAAAGTAATAATATCGTGGTTTAAAAAGTGTCTCTTGAATTCTTGCTGAGAAAAATGTTGTTCAATAGAAAAATTGCGGAGAAGTATTTCGTGTCAGGACGAAATACTGACCACCTTGTGGAATTTGCATCTAATGAACTATCAAAAGCTCCTGCGTCTGTTGTATTGGATGTAAAAAACTGGATTAGTCAGTTCAATCGTCGCTGGGCTAATGCTCATGGCAAGAAGCGTTTCTTTGAGCGAAATGTGAAGTGGCTTGATAGCGTTTTTCAGGTAGTAGTTTGCATCAGGCGAAATGCGTAAATCTAACCTGATTTGAGATTAGGGTGCATCAACTTTTGTAAACAATAGCTTCAATACCGACTTATCATAAATAACATCTCAATTTCGCAAACTTACTATACCAACAGGCAGAGGCATCGTTCGCCTTCTGTTTGTGTTGTTAGTTTTCGAGGGTGAGCTTTTTTTTTGCGAGACATAACCAGATGTGCCCTAATCTCAAATCAGTCCAGAAATGTGCGTAGCTGGCAAGAGTGTAGTAGTAGTAGTAAAATTCTTCTTTATTTGTGATTTGTTATGTGGTTTACAATTGCTAATACAGGGCAAAAGGTTAGCCAGAAGGGCTCTTCATCTTTGGTGAAAACTGGCAAGAGTGTATTTAAATGGCCAACTCTCCCTTTTTTGCTCCTAACGAGTATTCTACTATGAACCCCTTTCTTTTTCTTTGTTCTCATTTGGTTTTGCTATTAGTTTAATATTGTTCAGCATAATATGTCGTTGTATAGGTAATCTTTGATAATTTGAATTATGTTCAGTTCTCTTAATTATGCTCAATCATTTCTCCCAGTTCAAAAACGAATAAAGATAAATTAAAAATATTGCTATTCTCAGACTACCGTCAACTCTCCACACATCGATGTCTACTAGCTGGTGAATCTTGCCACAAAAATTATAAATATATTCGTCCTCATCTTGCTCGAAAAACTTCTCCAGAGGCCAATTTGTCAGATTTGATTAAGTCTGCATTGGCTCGTTCAGACCCCAAGATTGGAACATTAGTTATGGCACACAGTTCTAAGCGAAGAAGATCTTCTGACGAAACATTCAGTCAAAAAATGAGAGAATATTTCATGAATCCTCAATGCGAACCTTGTAACAATGATGACGATTCTGATGAATATGATAACTATAGTGACAGTCACGATGAAGAATAAGTATTTGAGATGTTACTAAATATAAGTTTGGTGTAGAAAGCCCTAAACAAGTTCTTTGATCTTATGATTTAAGAAAAATTATATGGAAAGAAATCGAGTTTTATATCAACTTCCTGCATCCTAACCCTGTCACTGTAAAAAAGATAAACTGTCACGTCTTAACCTTGACTAATCCATGAATATATGATTTCACGTTACACGCATCGTAAACAGAATCGATTTGATCAACAGGGTTAATATTTTTCCTTATTTTTCATCAAATCCAATATCTTTCTATTTACTGGTTCATAGAAATGATGATTTTTTTTTAGAAAGTTTATTCATTGTTTTTGTTTCCTTACACACGAAACACGGATTGTGAAACTTATGAAATAATTAATTTTATGTGATACATAAGTTATTGAATGATATTTCTACGGTATTTGATGTAACTTAAGATGGGATTATCACCATTAGATGTGTTCAGTAGGACAGTACTTGAGGGTTCTTCAATAAAAGGGGAGAATTGGGCAAAATGTTTAGTTAACTAAAGTCTGCGCAAGATGAGACAAGCATTTTTTGATTTTTTAAATATATTTACAATGATATAATAAACGAGTTTTCAATATTACATGCGTGAATTCTAATACTACTTGATTTATTAAATTAAAGGTGATAATCGGAAAAAATGGGTAATAAGCTGATGTCAGCACAAAATGAAACCATCACCATTACATTCCTCACACATTTTTACAGAGGAAAAGTGCTCGATCGATCAAAATAACAGGTCTAAATTCTTATAAAAGTATATCATGACTTATTTTCTCCAGTAAAAGGGGGAAATTGGGCAAAATGGGTAATTTACTGACATTTTCTCAAGATGAAACCACCACCATTCGATTCCTCAGTCATTTTTACAGTAATACAGTACACGAGGGTATAGTATGACACGCACTAACGCGTATAACCGTGAAACACTACTTATTAACTTCATAAATAGGGGAGAATTAGGAAAAAATGGCTCCATGCATTAGCTTACCTTCCGATGTAATCTGGAACGTAATTTTTTGGATCCCTAAGGTGTTTTCCTTCAAGAAGGACTATCATTGGACAGGTTTTCTTATCACTGACTACTGTCTTTTAAAAAATATCGAAAATAAGGTAATAGGGGTAAAATTGGCAAAAATGCATAGTCTGCAAACCACTTTTAATTGATTCTCCAGACGTTTTTCCACAAGAGTGGCAATATTTCATAACGTATAAAAACCACAATGAGGTATTTTTTAGTCATTTATACAAAATTTTAAGAAATTTGAGTAAAATGCTCCAAAAACCCCAACTTGCCCAATTCTGCACAGAAATTTCCATTGGATTTCTGAGACTTTTTCCCATAAGAATAATTATATTTGCAATGGTTAAATCAGTGCTGATCAGAGATAATGAATTTTGCTCCTTTTATGTCGATTTTTTCCCACTGTGCAATGGCTTCACTTCCCTTCCGAAGGAAGGCGTGATCAGAGATGTTATACCTCAGAACATCACGGAGACGCCGACTGGGATTGAACCCAGGCCTGCTGAGGTGAGAGAGAACCACGCTTACCACTACATCACCGACGCCGCTAATGTGCTCTTTAAATGAGATGCTTTTGAATTTACTTCTGGTGACGAAAGACGTAGAAAAGTAGCAAGGGAAGTAAAGCCGTTGGACCCCGGTTCATGAGTTGATGAGTCGATAGGTGGTAGGGGCCAGATGTGGGAGCTGCCTCCCTGGCTTCAGTACCATTGGTGCTCAGCACGGAAAACAAGATCGACGGAAAACAAATCAAGGAAAAAAAAGAGGACATTGAGGAAAGGAACACTTTATCCAAGCACACCACTATTTCTCCGTTTCGTTTTGTATTTTTGTATTTCGAATGTATTTTCATAAAGCTGTTCAATGGTTCTCCTCAGTTTGATAAACTGTAAAGTTTGCTCTTTGCGCTCAATGTTTGAGGAAATTACAAGGCTGGGTGTAGGGGCATAACAATTTTGGAAAACGATATAACATATCTGTGAAAATCAGTGTTTTCCAAGATTCTTGAAAACAAAAAATACATCCCAAACATTTTTTCTGTCTCGTCATGAAACAAAGTCGTACTCAAAAGAAAACCTAAAGGTTGATTTTTTTTCAATTTTTCAATATGTTTAGAGAAACGTTCTTTTTTCCGGGACAGTAACCTTCTTGTTAAGAGGACATACGGGTTGAAAACAGAGGTCTTTCCCTACCTTCTACTAAATGTTCTTTGAGCTCTTCCACTTGATTAAGAGCTTTCCAATCCGGAAACGTTTTTGCAATCGTATATTATGTCGTCTGCCTTCAAGTCAAGTAATTTACCAGCCCAGAACATATTTGAATCGGAACGGGAATCGAATCCAGCGTATACAGCGTCACTTTTACTGATTCTGCTATCGGGTGTGTGATTTTTGGAGGCCTAATAAGACAACATTGAAATCCGTTTATGATAACTACAGAAGTTTTATGTTTTAACTTAAGGAAACATATGCCTCAACTTCAGACATTTCTTTGATCGAGACCTCATTGGTTAACTTGGTGAGTTAATCATTTGGTTTTGATGACCTTCACTTCATTGATGTATCCCAAATTGCTGAAAATCAAAAACCGTTCCAATGATTCGTTCTGACGCTTCCTTCTTTACATTGCAATCATAAAACTAAACCAAACCCTTCACCAATCACCTGATCAACCTCAAATAAAAACCATTCTGTATCAATTGCATTGCAAACATCTTACATCTGACTCACTTGATAAATAATCCACTGGAGTTACACAACATCCGATCAATTCAAACCCGACAGCAGAGCGCATAGCAATGCAAATCACCTCCAACCTACCAACGATCCAACTGCCAAGACCCTGCACGTGTGTGCTAGTTTTAAAAAGGCACATTCTACAACCCAAGCAATACTTACTGGTCCACGATCCAACATGATTGCAGCTTTACGGCTTAATACGTGGGAAGGCTGGTTCTGTCTTCTACAATAATGGTACTAGCTTGCCTAAACTAGGGTGCAGTCTCAAACCTAAGTGCTGTAGAATCTCTAAACCGAGGCTTGGCTTCGCTGATTAGTCTACCACACGGGAAGATGCTGTAGGTAGCCGAAGTTATGTATGCCACAGATTACGCAGCAAATTGAGCACATTTAATTTTCTTCTACTTTTTTTTCTGCTTAACAACGGTGCTGACGATGGAAAATCTTCTTGTGTAATTTACTCGTAGCAATTCCACCCACAACACTGCATTCAAATGCTTCTACACAATATTTACTAGCTACACTTTGAACGCTATCTGCGGAGACTTATCAAACACCTTGGATGTTGCACATACACGAGCAGCGATGCAATTTGATTTGGACTCGCTTTCTCAGTCTCTTGCTTTTCTCAGAAAACTCTTAATGCTTTCCTCTTCACATTAGCATCTGCAACGGTGCTTTTATGCTCTATGCTTCTTGGTATTCTTCACTGATTCTATACACTTTCTTGCAGCTATTGATTACCGGAGCTTATTTTTCACATTTTATCTTCTCCAGTGGGGTTAATTGATTACCTTTCCTTCTTCCTCTTGAAGAAAAATCTGATTTAACCACTACGCGAAAATTCTCCGGACACGCTGCCGTACGGTTCTACGCGCGAGGACTCAAAGTCTTCACCGAAAAAATCGTATCACGTCCGACCGTCACGCTGCGACTAAAGAAAACTTGGTCCTATCTCGGGAACGGGGCGGTGGACGACACTACTAATCAGCCGTGCACACACGACTCCGCTAACGGCTGGGGGCTGACTAAAAAGCGACTGTGTCGTCTGTCCAAGCCCGAGCGCGCTGTAGCTACGTGAGTGCGAGTATGCTGCTACTACAACTGGTTTGGATTCTTGATTCACTCGCTCTCTCTCTCTCTACGACGCCGCCGCCGTGGTTGTCGTTCTCTGCGGCTCAACACTACCACCACCCAATCCAATCGGGTTGCAGATTGTTTGGATCCGGAGTTCAAGAGCTGGGCTGCCGTTTGTTGCACTATATGAGTATAGACAATAACAAAGAGTCCGTTGTCGAACCGGTTCCTACTCTCTGGGGTGGCCTGGCGGGCGGTGGGTGGGAGGTCACACGTGCTAGCTGCTGTGTCTGGAACATGAAATGTACATATTCTAGCTAATTTGTGCTCGAATCTGTTGGGAAATAGGGAAACGGAGAAAGAGAGAAACATTGAGAATTGTACGAGCGAGCGAGCGAGCAAATGAGTGAGCGGCAAGGGGGTGCACTATAAAATGAGGAAATGGATATAAAAAAAAATGCTTCGTTAGACTCTAATGTATATGTATGTTTATGAGCGAAAGGCTAATTCTACTTCGGGGCATGGGTTGCTTGCTTATACGGGGCTAATGGGTTCACAACAGTTCCTGGTTCTACAACTTAGTATCGATGGAAATCAGCTGGTGCTGCAAGTTGCAATCGCATTCGATATGTTTGGCACTGGCGTCTACACAAATTACGTCGAGAAATCCGACAACTGATAAACTTCTAAAAATACAAGTTAAGGTGAAATGGAACGAAATATGAGCTCTCCGTTGAGAAGAGGAGAATTTATCTATCTCCAGTCTAGCATGTCAAGCGTTTTGCCATCGCATGATTGTTTGTTGTTGGTTTTAATTTCGTGTGTCCAAAATAACATCCATTTCTTATGGACAAACAACTGACACACATGGAAGTTCCTTTGTGAATCGTATTGAGAGATCTATTGTGTTAAAATCAAAAAAAAATCGAGGTGTTTATTCAATGTAGTGTTAATATTTGAAACAGTTGGACAAATATTGTGTAAATTAAAAATCAGATTGGAATTATATTGGAGCAATTGGTGCTATTAAGTCAGCTAAATAATTACAAGCGTATATTTGTCTTATTACAATGGATGCTTCCCCTCACTTCGCTAAACAATGTTTTATTTTGTTGGAATCATTAAATCATGAGGCGTAATGATGAAATTTTGTACTTACATTTTGCAAATTACAAGAAAATATAGTACAGCATATGTTTGATTCATAAACCTGTAAATTTTGCATCCAGTGAGACACAATTAGCAATTTAATTAATCGTAAACGTCGGCTTTGCCAGAACGCTCACGATTGCGGCTCTCGAAGCGAAATTAAAAGCTTTTATGTTTCAAACACATACTTTACCATCAAGTACACAATATCAAGACAAATGACCAAGTACATTTATTTTAAGTTTTAGAGAACCAGAGTTGACTTTTGACAGTGGTCGTGGACGTATTGAACAAAGAACTTAAATTTCTGCATATTGAAGAACGCCCCAATCCACTCATTTAGCTAAATAAAATTCCTCGAGTTTCCCAGGTTTTTCTAGGACTTCATAAAAAAAACAGGTTTTTGTAGTTTTTTTTAATGTGAACTCCTTGAAATAGTCCGCAGAATTTTCTAAGATCTTTTCGATGAATTCTCTAAAGTTGATTACAGGAACAACCTTGAAATTCTTCATAATATTCTTTTGAAATTTACCTAAAAACTACGATGCAAAGTTCCTTGAAAATTTCCTCAAACCTTCTTTGAAATACTTCTATGGTGCTTTTCGAAATATCCTCAGAAAATTCAATAAATTCTTTTCAGAATTCCCAGTGCATTCTCCTTCTTCTCTAGGAATAATACTTACAAGTACCTTCGAGTTCTCCTAAGAATTCACTTTCCGTTCTCCTTACAAATCTCTTAAAAGAGTCAGCTCCAAATAACTTTGCAGTTTTAGTCCAAACTCTCTTTGAATTCTCTATGAAATGCCCTCGGAATGCTCCACAGAATTTTCTAGTAAATTTTCTTTATATCCTACTCAGGATTCAAAGAAAAAAAACCTTGTAATTATACTCAGAACTACCTTAGAATTTTCCTTATGTTTCACCTCGAGTCTGGAGTTCATCAGAACTAATTTGAAAGGATTCTTCGACTAAACCAGAAGTTTTGTGATCTGCATAAAGCATAAAAAGTTCCTTCTTTTGACTGTTTTTAAATTAGGGTTGTAATCCAATTATTGATATACATCAACTTATATTTTTATTTTTGAAAGGAAAGACGCCTGTTCTTTAACAAAGTTATAGTTATGTTTTAGAGGTAAGTATTTTCTGTGAACTTTTTCAGCTTAAAATGCTCTTCTTTTGGCCGTTTTTAAAAACAGGGTTGTTTTAAAATTATTGATAAACAGTAGGCTGATGCGAAATTTGAAATTTTTGCTCCACAGTGCTCAAACGGTTCCAAATCGGGTCCTGGTTAGCCTCTCTAAAATTTGAACTCATTTAGTAAGAAACTGACTTGACACAAACCATTAGAAATTTATATATAAATTACTATGGGAAATCCAAAATTGTTGTTCATATTTATTCACCAGTTCATCCTGCTTTAAAAAATAATAGCTACAACTTTGTTGGAGGCCACTGTTCGATCAAAGGTAAGGAACACAAGTTATTAACGATTCAAGTCACTAATGTCTTATGATTATGCTCAAACAACTGTTCAGCAGGGAACATTGGTGTTTCTGGCGCATAGAATAGAGGACAGCTGCTTTATCATGCCTGAAGGTTATTAAACTATTAAACTATCAATAACTATTTAATTCGACACCAGAAAAGCGATGCTCTACAAAGTTGTAGTTGAGAAAATTTCCCATAGGAATAACGATAGAATTTGTTAACAGTGCAATATGGAAAAAGGCTAGAAGACAATGAACAAAAAGTCAATCTCCATCAGTCTTATAAACAGCCATTCCATAGCAATGTTTTTTCAGAATTATCGCAAAATATACGATATGTATTTATTTTTATTGTCTAATCATGATGACCATTTCCATGCTAGGATGGTCCAAAAAAATTCCATGCTAGGAGCGGCTGATTACCGTCCTGGTGCCAGCATGTGACTCTAAACAGAGCTGTGCACGATGGTCCCCCGGCGAGACGGGGGTTGGGGCAGACCCAACAAGCCGCCCTGAAAAAAAAACAAAGTTGCAGATACTGAAGAAAGAAATACGGATCGGAACAATCGGCACAGACCTATGCGACGAAATAAAGACTACGATTGGAAACTCGGAACATGGAACTGCTAATCGCTCGGCTTCCCGGGCTGCGGTAGGTTAATCTATGCGGAACTTCAACCATGCAAATTCGAAGTCGTAGCACTGCAGGAACTTTGCTGGACAGGACAAAAGGTATCGAAAAGTAGGCATCGAGTGGCTACTTTCTACCAGAGCTGTGGCACCACCAACGAGCTGGGAACCGGCTTTGTAGTACTGGGTAAGATGTGCCAACGTGTGATTGTTTGGCAGCCGATCAACGCGAGGATGTGCAACGTGCACTGCCCACACGAAGAGAGACCCGACGACGAGAAAGAAGCGTTCTATGCTCAGCTGGAGCAGGTGTACGACGGCTGTTCGCAACGGAACGACAAAATCGTCATCGGTGGCATGAACGTTCAGGTAGGACGGCAGGCAATGTATAGACCGGCGATCGGGCCAAAACAGCCTGCATGCCGTATCGAACGACAACGGCCAACGATGCGTGAAGATTGCATCCTCTCGGGGTATGGTAGTTCGAAGTGCCGTTTTCCTCCGCAAGGATATCCACAAGGCCACCTGGAGATCACCTGAACAACACACAGAAAACCAAACCGATCACGTTCTAATCGACGGGAAATTCTTCTCCGACATTATCAACGTCCGCACGTACCGCAGTGTGAACATAGATTCGGACCACTACCTAGTTGCAGTATGCATGCGCTCAAAACTCTCTACGGTGCAAAACACCAGTCGATGTCGAACGCCTCGACCCAACATCGAGAAATTACGGGACGCCGCAGTTGCCCAGGAATGCGCGCAGCAGCTGGAAGTCACACTACCCACGGAAGAGCAGCTTGGCGCAGCTTCACTTGAAGATGGCTGAAGGGACATCCGTTCCGCCATAGGCAGTACTGCTGCAACGGCACTAGGTACTGGGATCCCGGACTGTTAGTAGAGGAGAAGAAAGCAGCACGGGCGAGAATGCTGCAACACCGCACGAGATTAAATGTGGAGCGATACAGACAAGCGCGGAACACACAAAAATCGGTTTTCCGAAGGAAGAAGCGTCAGCAGGGAGACCGAGATCGCGAGGCGATGGAAGATCTGTAACGACACACGAAAGTTCTACGAGAAGCTAAATAGATCGCGCAAAGGCTACGTGCCGCAAGCCGATATGTGCAAGGACTTGGACGGTAACATTCTCACAAACGAGTGTGAGGTGATTGAGAGGTGGAAGCAGTACTATGACGAGCACCTTAACGGTGATGCAGCAGAAAACGAAGGTGGCATGGCAACAGACCTTGGAACGCGCGCAGAAGACGACAGGCTAGCTGCCCCTGATCTTCAAGAAGTTGAGGATGAGATCGGTCAGCTGAAGAACAACAAAGCAACTGGTGTAGATCAACTACCAAGTGAGCTATTAAAATACGGTGGTGAAGCACTGGCTAGAGCGCTGCACTGGGTAATTGCCAAGATTTGGGAGGAGGAGATATTACCGGATGAGTCGATGGAAGGTGTCGCATGCCCAATCTATAAAAAGGGCGAAAACTTGGATTGCTGCAACTACCGCGCGATGACACTGCTGAGCGCCGCCTACAAGGTACTCTCCCAAATTCTATGCCACCGCCTGTCACCATTTGCAAGAGTTCGTGGACCAGGTGTGATTAGTGGGTGCCCGCGCTACCACGGACCAAATTTTTGCGATTCGTCTGGTTCTGCATAAATGCCGCGAATGCAACGTGCCCACACATGATTTGTTCATCGATTTCAAATCCGCATACGAAACAATCGATCGAAATCAGCTATGGCAGATTATGTACGGATTTCCGGATAAACTGACGCGATTGGTCAAGGCAACGATGGATCGAGTGATGTGCGTTGTTTGAGTATCGGGGACACTCTCGAGTCCCTTTGAATCTCGAAGGGGGTTACGGAAGGTGATGGACTTTCGTGTCTGCTATTCAACATCGCGTTAGAAGGTGTGATCAGAAGAGCAGGGATAGACACGAGTGGCACGATCTTCAGGAATTCCATCTAGCTTCTTGGCTACGCCGATGACATCGACATCATGGCACGGAAATTTGAGACGATGGCGGAAACGTACATCAGACTGAAGGCTGAAGCTTGGAGGATTGGACTTGCCATCAACGCATCAAAGACAAAATTCATGTAGCCTCCCACCCCGAGTTCAGATTGGCGGTGACGAAATCGAGGTGATCGATGAGTTCGTGTATTTGGGCTCACTGGTGACCGCCGAAAATGATACCAGCAGAGAAATTCAAAGACGCATTATGGCAGGGTGTCGTGCCTACTTTGGACTCCGGAGGACGCTCCGGTCGAATAAAATTCGCCGCCGTACGAAGTTGACCATGTACAAGACGCTGATTATACCGGTGGTCTTCTACGGCCACGAGACCTGAACTATTCTCGTGGAGGAACCTTTGGTGTTTTAGAACGAAAGGTGTTGCAAGCCATCTACGGTGGAGTGTAGATGGATGGCGGAACGTGGAGGAGGCGAATGAACATCGAATTGCACCATATGCTGGAAGAACCATTCATTGTCCACATTGCAAAAATTTGGGCGACTACGGTGGGCTGGGCACGTCGTAAGAATGCCGCACGACGGCCCAGTGAAAATGGTTCTAGAAAGCAACCCAACAGGAACAAGAAGAAAAGGCGCGCAGCGGGCAAGGTGGATCGACCAAGTAGAAGGCGACCTGCGGACCCTTTGCAGATTACGAGGCTGGTGAAGTGTGGCCAAATTAGCATGTAAAAATATATTTTCAATCTAATCATGAAAAAGATAGATTCACAACAAAAAAAAAAAAGAAAGATGTTTTGCAGGTTTGCAGTTCATCTTTGTGCGATGATGTGTGAAAAAAATGTGTGTATACGTAAATTTTCTATAAAGAAAAAGAAAACAAAAATGCAAAGCAGTTGGCAGTGGCGCAATGTCAGGTTAGTACAAATATTTTTGCTTTTTGACCTTTTCCTCGATCCTAACATTACAATGGCACACCACGCTTAGATTTCAAACTTCAAACCCTAAGGATTCAAACTACCAGTTTATAACACTCTGGCTGATCGAATGCGATGGCGTTATATGGAATTACAGAAAAAATGTGAAAATAAGTGTATTAATTTTAAATATATTGTTTAAATACATATAAATCGAAAACAGTAGGTTGTGGAGTTTTGACCTCTTCAGAAGGGTTGTTTATTTTATCAAGATAAACAACTTTGCTGATGAAGTCAAGTCTTCAAAACGCCATTTCAATGCATTAAAAAAATTCAATAGAAATAATACATGCTCCACTAAAATGATAAAATCCCAAAAACACCAAAATATACCTCTCTCAAATTTTGATATTTTGTTTATAGAGTATTGCTAAATTTTTGCTGAAAATGTCAGGTTGCGATTTTTTGCGCTTTGGGAGATATTAAAGTTCAAAAATTGTTGTTTTTTCGGTTTTTCTACAATATCCTTAAAATTTGAATCTTAAACCAGTAGGTTTCTCCACAAAAGTTATTTATTTAATGCATTTGAATAAGAGAAAATATAACATTTTCTGGTTGTAAGCAAACAAAACTGAAACAGAAAGAAAAAAACATATTTTCGACATTTTTTTTCTTTAACTCCATATAACTCGGAACCAGTAGGCTGTGGAAATTTTATGTCTTCAAAAGAGTTGTTTATTTTGTCAAGGCAAACCAGCGTCAGCAAAAGAAGTTAGATTGTGGCGCCATATTTGCGGAAGAGTTTTGAACTATTTGTTTATGTCAATAGATGGTCATTATTATGATGAGAAACTTTACCCAAGACACCAAGTAGCGGAAATGTTTCGTTTCAGAGATATTAATTTTGCTCCGCTAGATTGCTTTTCTGGCCCAGTGTGCACTGGTAGACAAGTACAGGTTAAGTTTGAAAAAAAATCTTAAATCAGGGAAGAATAAAAAAAAATTTGAATTTGAAATAGCGCCTCTAATACAAATGATAAGGGTTAAAAAATCGTGAAATTAAAAATGGCTTGTGTCTCTGGTAGACAACATCAGAAAAAAATTGAAAAATATGTAAAATTTGAACTTACGCTTTTGGTAAACTTGATCAGGGATAAATAAAAAAAAAAAAAAAAATTACAGTACATGTTCAGGGAAACATTGATCTTAAAATTTTTAATGACAAGCGCCCCTTATATACACGTTCAGGAAGAATTTAAAAAAATATTCTATGTTAACAAGTTTGGAAAAAAATTTAAAAACAAAGTTATATTTGAAATGGCTTGCGCCCCTAGTAAACATGTTAAGGTAAAACATGATTAAAATCGTTTAATTTGAAGCGGATTCATGTTCAGGGAAAATTTAAAGAAAAAATTTAAATTTTAAATGGCAAGCACCCCTGGTAACCAAGTTCAGAGAACAATTGAAAAAAGGGGTAAAATTTTAAATGACTCGGTTAACATCTTCAGCGGAAAAGTGATCAAAATCGATATGCACGTTCAAAGAAAGAAAAAAAAAGTCAAATTGCTAGCGGCTCCTGTAGTCGGGGAAAAATTCAATAAAAATACGTTAAATTTGGAAACAGAATCAGAGAAAAAAGTAAAATATGTAAAATTTGAAATGGTAGGCGCCCTTGGTAGACAAGATTAGGGATTAATTGAAGAAAAAAAATCTAAATTATTTGCGCCCCTGCTAGTAAACATGATCAGGGAAACGTTGAAAAAAAAAATTAAAATAACTAGCACCTCTGGTAGAAAAGTTCATGGAAATGATGAACAATTTGAAATGACTAGCGCCCCTTTGAAACAGGTTAAAGTTGACAAAAATCTAAAATCTGGGAAATATTGAAAAATTGTGAATTTGGAATAGCTTGCACCATGATATACATGATAAAGGATAAAAAATCATTAAATTGGAAATGGCTTGCGCCCCTGGTAGACAACTTAAGGGTAAAATTGAAAAATATGTAAAATTTAAAATGGCTCGTAAACATGTTCATGTAAAAAGTTATTAAAATCGTTTAATTTAAAGTGGCTAGTGCCTGTGAGATACTTGTTTAGGGAAAAATAAAAATAAAATTTATAAATTTTAAAAAGCTAGCACCCTTGGTTGTTAAGTTCTGGGGAAAATTGAAAAAATGTGGAAAACTTCAAATGGCCAGCGCCCATGGTAAACATATTCGAGCGAAATTTGAAAATGGGTTAAATATAAATGGTTTGCTTCCCCGGCATAAATAATGAGGAAAAATGTAAAATTTGAAATGACATGCGCCCTTGGTAGGCAAGGTCAGGTAATAATTGAAATAACAACCAAATTATTTAAAAATGGCTGCCCCCCTTGATAAAAATGTTCAGATTTTTTTTTATCAAAATCGTAAAATGTTAAGGTGCTGGCACCCACGTTAAGCGAAAATTCAAAAAATA